TATATGGACAAATAGCTGCTTGTGGCAACTGCAGCCCTAAAACCACCACAGCAATCGCAGTACCAAACCATCACAGTACAACTCCCCATATGAGATCCCCAAGATATCTCCATGGCCCCCAAGTGGCACCATCCCCAGCTGTCCCAAAGCTGTTCCCTCAGGGCTTTATCATTGTGCCACAGAGACACTGATCAGAGATTTTTTTTTTAAACCTTGCAGACTATTTAAGCCTAGCATTTAGCAGGATATCTGATGAAGAGTGTTAACCAGAGTACCCCTTTTACTCAAACTAGAGGTTCCCAATCCTGGTGTTTTAGACTCCAAGTTTGGCTCAGTTTTGTTCTTTCCTAACTTTAACAGACTTGACCCAACTCAAAAGAGCTTTTAATTCACTCAGGCATGTTACGATTACAGAAAGTTGCAAAACAACTCCGTTGAGTGGGAAACTTCCAAGCATTATTGTCCAATCTTATCCACTATGGAGCCGATGTGGCTGCAGGCTTTCATTGAAACAAATCAGGATCCACACGTGACAACTGATTTGGCCCAGATCAACTAATTAAACAGGTGGAATCAGGTGTGGCTCCTGATTGGTTGGAATGAAGACCTGTAGCCACAATAGCCCTTTGTGGATAAGACTAACCAACACTGCTCTAGAGCATTTGGATGCTTCCTATATGTGCACAGGCACTGCAAGCCAGGTGAACATGTCCCAGGATGGAAAAATGGCCATAAGCTAACCGAAGGACCAACTACAATGTTGGGCACAGGACAGAAGGAGATTGGGCTAATGCGCTGGGAACCACTGTTTATTGAAAATCTCGTCTGACAACCCCACATTTCACCACCAGAGGTCACCATCCCCAGAGCACTGATTACTGAATACTAATTACCTTAACCTTTGCACTCAGTGCTCATTGTCCACTGTGTCCTCAGATTGTCAAGTTTTAGCTATGCTAAATTGTCACGAAGTGTGAATATGATTCATTCATTCATTCAGTAACTGCTGGCCAGTAACAGGGCCATCAGTTTTAGTATAACATTTGATATTAATAGTGCACTACAGATTAGCTAGTTCCCCAGTGACAGTACACTACTTGTGCTAAAAGTACACATAGTACACATTTGAGATGCCTTTCGCCTTCCTCCTCTGTTGTGAGGCTCTAGTTGTAAGATTTCCACTACACCTGCACAAGTCCAGTTCTCAGTGATAGATCCTGAGTGAACCCAGACACACTCATCTGGTATTTATAGTTAGGCTTATAGCAAAGGTATAATTTTGCATGCTCCCTTGTCAGTGCTAGCCAAACATATGTGTCACGCTTTCTTGTTCTCCGCCACCTTGTCTACGCACATGAATTCACCTCAGCTGTGTCAGAACCACACTATACAAGCTGAGCAGGAAAAATGCATTGTCTTCCTCTGTTTACCAAGCTGTAGGGTTTCACCCAAAAGTAATCCAACAACTGTATTATGATGGGTTCTGTATATAAGCTAAGGTGCATCATAACCAAAGCCATCGCCAAAGTCATTTCCCACCTTACTATCCCCTTTGACTCATACAGTTTTTCCTGTTAATGTCCTGCCAATTCACTGGGACAAGGTTATGTGTTAAGATGAGCCAAAGTTGAAAAGTTGATTTGGCAGTTTTCCGGGACAAGACCTACTAAAACTGTTTGTAATGTGATGACATTTTAGGATGCGTTTGTCCTGCGATTTGCTTTAGGGTGAAAAGTTAAAATGCAACCCAAGCAAAAGCTAGTGAACCAGCAAAAACAACTTCAGCTTCCAGAAAATGCTGGAAATTCAACGGATTCCAAAACTAAGAAACTTCTAGAAGTCGAAGCAAAAGGACTATTCAGGAATCAATCAAATTTACCAAGACAAATAAAGAGCACAGGATTATCCAGATGATTATCCAGAATATGTTTTGACACAGATTAACGAGGGAACAAAAGTAAGAATGAAAGGGAAAATGAAAAGTAAGAATGAGGGGAAGGAAGGAGAGAGTGATTGAGGGGTGAGAGAGGAAGGATGTAAAAAAAAAAAGTGAAAAGGTTAGTCGCTGGATGTCCCCTCTTCCTCTGTTACTGTCTGTACTGTCTAACAGTAAGTTATAGGAAAACAGTAATTCCATTTCCAAATGGAAAATAAAGCTAGTAAGAGCACATGTTCTGATTGTCTTGACCACAATTTCAGATAAACCTAAACAAGTCATCCTTTTTTTCAGGAAGATGTTTCAGCTGCACTTTTCTCTCTTATATCCTTGTATAAATTAACAAATTTATAAAGCTTTTGGATACTGATATTCCAAATAACAGGTTTTTTGAGTGTTGAGTGACCATGGCCATCAGAGACATGTGCTGGTTATGCGCAGGAAGCAAACTACACACTCTGAAGTGTGAAATTTCAATCCACTCACTTCAGGTACTGAATAATGTAATAAGAAATGATTCCTATATAGAAATATAGAAGTATATAATCTATTTCACTTTACAGATATGCAAGACTTGCATTTACTGTTATTCTGCCTTGTATTGATTCATCAGTTAAACACTGCATCACATCACCTTCACATAGGTGCACACTCTGCATCACATCACACAGTGTGGTATTCGTGGTAATGGACATTATGAATAACTAATTCTTTTTTTAACAATCCTGTTCAGTGGAATCCAGAGTTTATCTGATTTATTTGACTCTACATGTGGGATCAAACCCTGGTCCGAGGGCCTGCAATGCATTAATTTGATGTCCATTATCATGTTGTTCAGTGTTCATGAAATGATACTGTAGCATCGCTGCACTTGAGTGTGTACTCATTTGCATACCTGTGAGCCCCCACAGCGTTCTCGTTATTTTTTTTTTTAATGTCTTTGTTTGGTTAGATTAAGTGTTATCTGCTAACATATGATTTTGATGGGTGTTGGTCTGTTGTATCATGTTTAGTTGTATTCAGTATTTTGAAGAAACCTGGTGGGTTTTTCCCCTTATGTAGCCTGTTTTGTTGATAACCAAGTCCATGTTTGTTCTGTGAGTGTGTTTGCTAATAAAAGAGCAAGTGCATTGTTTTTACACTGCTTCCTGGTCAAGCTTTTTCATTGCTGACCACACAATACACACATTTCCACTGTATTTAGCTGGTCTCTCAGGTTGGTCAAACCAGGATCATGTGAGGACCAGCAAATCTTTGCTCATGTTGATGTCTTTTTTTTTTTTTAATCAGGGAAGTGGCATTTGTGTAATAGCCTACTTATAGGCTATTCAGGAACATATCATTTACACTTCAGTTTAATTACTAATACATAATATACAGTATAATCATCTTATCTTTGATATTCAGTGTTTGAGGAGCACACACAAACAATGGTCAAAAAGGCAACTATACAAATAACTTATTCAAGAGTTAAAGAGCAGAGACAAAGTCCATCCATCCATTCTCTGTACCGCTTATCCTACACAGGGTCGCGGGGAGCCTGGAGCCTATCCCAAGGAACTCTGAGCACAAGACAGGGGACACCCTGGACAGGGGGGCCAATCCATTGCAGGGCAATCTCACACACACACACACAATTTGGAAATGCCAATCAGCCTATCGACATGCCTTTGGACAGGGGGAGGAAACCGGAGTACTTAGAGGAAAGCAGGGGAGAACAAACTCCACACAGTATCAGCATGATGGGTGGGATTCGAACCCCAACCCCAGAGGTGTGAGGCAGCAGCCCCCAAAGTGAGTAAAAAGTTCAGTAAAAAGTTGTTGTTTTTTTTTCTCTATAACACTGTAAGAAGTGTTTAATTACTGAAGGTGGTAAACACTATAGCCTAGATGTTCATGTTGATACTGAATCAACATTAACAATGCACACAGGGATTTGGCTGTGTAGCCTGCACAGCACTCTGCTGTCTGTCATTAACCACAGACAGGCATGAGGTTTTCTAAGTGTCTGGACATTCAGACCTACAGAAAAGGTTCATTAGTGCTCAGTGTTGGTGTTTCATTATGCAGGGGTTATTTAGCGGAACCTCCCGCCTCTGCTGTGTGCAGGGAGGAGAGAAAAGAGAAGTGGAGAGGAGTGAAGAGGCGGAACAGCAGCAGTAGCGCACACACACACACACACACACACACACACTTGCTTCAGGCATGACAGCGGCGTTCAGCTTCCCGCTGGCATTTCTGTCGCTTACTTACTAATGACCTTTGAACCCGGTTTCATAACGTCAACAACGACTTTTGGGGAGGATAGCGTTCATTAATAAGGTAGGTTTTTTTTTTTTTTGTCTTCTTCTGTTTCAGGGTATTTTTTTTAAATTAAAACTAAAATAGCCTCACTTGCTTGTGTTACTTACTCCCTCATTAAGAATAAGAAAATATGTGGTTTACGTTGGTTAAAAAGCCCGCACACAGCAGCTAAATTGCCTGTCAGAAGCATTTGAGTAGGGGGTGTGGTGGCCTAGCGGCTAGCACACTCGCCCCGCACCTCAAGGGTCAAGGGTTCGATTCCCATCTCCACCCTGTGTGTGGAGGTTGTACTTGTTGACATGCATTGTAGGCATCTCTAGACTGCACCCAGGATGTCCCCCGCCCTGTGCTCCAAGGCCGCCGTTGTTGTTGTTGTTGTTGTTGTTGTTATTATTATTATTCTTATTATGCTCCCTGCGACCCTGCGTAGGATAAGCAGTAGGGTAAGCAGAAGGATGGAATAGCCTGAGTGCTGCCAGCAGTGCTCCTGCCCGTGCTGGGAGGATCCTGAGCCAGGCTGGGATCTTCCCGTTAGATGAAGGAGGATACTGGCTCCTGTCCAGCATCATAACACTCTCATCCTACCACTCTGACAAGGCGTGAGCTTATAGCCTTAACACACTCTACACAGCAAAATCCCCAGGACAGAATTAACATCTCCAGGGTTAAAATATTATGGGGTTAGAATTGTTTCATATTTCCAAATGAATAGATTACAAATGTAGGGATTCACAAAATCAAACAAATTCACAAATAAATAAGATCCAAAAGTATATGTCAGGAGCTTCACAAAGATGAATTAAATTCCAAATTTGAATTCGCATGAATTCAAATTTACAAATATGTTTTAGGTCACAAACAACTCTGCCTGGCATTCATTTGTGGATCTCTTAGCCTATAGTGTTCAATGATGACATAACTTGCTGTGTTGAATAAACTCTTAAAGTGTTAAGTACAGCGAGATTTCTGTAAAATAAATGCTCACTCAGGTATTCACTCAGTATAGGGCAATTTGTTGTGTATAGTATAACCTGTGCATACTTCATGCAAAATAAATTTTATGAATCTCTTAATCAGATTAAGTCCCAATATAAAATGAATGCCAGATCAGGGTTCTCGCTGACTTTGGAAAGTACTTTTTAAGATTATACTGTATAAAAATGGTATGGCTTAGAACAGTCATAAAGAATGTACAGTTTAAAGGGTTTATGACTTGTCCTTGTAGGAGAACCTGAACATATTCATCAGATAATCATTTTATGAGAGTTCCTTAGCAAAAGAGAGCCAAAACCAGAACCGTGTAAGCATGTTGATGCACAAAGTCAGATGCAGAAAGGGCAGGAGATGATTAGGAGACAGCAAAACGGTAACCTTTGACATTGTCAATGAAATATCTATTGCTGATAGCTTTGGTTATGCCACAGCAGGATATGTTATCTCTCTTTTCATTTTATGGGTGCTCCTGTATTTTCTGTGTGTTGGTTGGAAGAGTGCTATCTCCTAACCCCTATCAGCTACATTATACTTAATTGTCTGTTAGTTTTGTCCAATATACAGAGAATTAGAAATAGTACAATCCACCGTACAACATGATACTGAATTTTGAACTCATATTGTTAATTTCAATGCTAACATATAGGGGTTGAACACAGACATGTCAGAGGTTATTTTGTCTGACATTTCAGGTCGAAGGTCAATGAGCTCTGATAGCTCTCTGAGTATTCAAAACAGTCAACACCATTTATAGCTCCATCAGTTGAGCCTTTTGACCTTGAGGTGCTGGAGGATAAGTAGATTTGATAAAATCAGATGCTATGTTCTGCATTGTAAATTGGTGCATCATAAAACTCCAGGGTGAGGTTTTGAATACTTCTTTCTGGAGGATGATGTGTTTTGAAGGTCCCAGTTTTGGAATTTGGAGGGTTTCCCAATTTGGAAGGCGTATAACCACTTTGGAGTAGGACCGAGTTGTCTGATTTTTTTTTTTTTTTCTGATTGGCTCACTAGCTAAAACAGAAGAAAACCATGGCATGCATGATATATTTGGCTAATGCAAGCTGGGGACTGTAGGGGAAAAGCACTTACTATCAGTGAAGGGCCTTCTGGTTATGCAGGGCAGGGTATGCACATGTATACGAGCCCGGGAGCTTTGGGGGTCCAAATGTGGGACAACTTAAATAGCAGTAACATTCCACAGGTCAGTGTACTCTTACCACATATCTCAGTGTGCTGTTTTTCACCAAGAATGTGTTTAAATTGCTTAATCCCTGTTAAGTCATTAATAGCTTACATTACATTAAAGCTTTCATTAATGGCTTAGGCCAGTTGTTTTTGTATGACTATGATTTAATGTGCTCCGCTAGTAGGCTAATTAATATTCCCTTGTTTACCTAACTGGTGAATGACCATGTTGTACAAACCTATGCTATAGTATATAAGTTATAGTACATAATGTTTGGGACTATTAAATAGTAATATTGACTGTAGAGGCTTTTGAACCACATGCATTTTTGTTGGCATACATCACATTTGTTGGATTAAGGGCCCAGTCCTAAAGCTTTGCACCGCTGTTGGTCATATTTACATACAAAGATTTTTGTCAATCAAAATAAATCCATTTTGCTTGCAGATTCCAAATTAAGCTAAAATTGGCAAGATCATACAGTGACCTGTATAAGCATGAGAGGAGTGGCACTTTGTGTCAACATTGCCATAATAAAGAGAAGTGTGTGAGTCCTGTCAGAGTGAAGCTAAGTAGCTAATGTTAGCTCAGCATTTTAAAATGTTGTTATCAATCATCTAGTTATGTTGTTATCAATCATCTAGCTAAAAAAACTAGTTATCAATCATCTGGCTTGTGTTTTTTGATTAGCCATTGATTATGTCAGTCTCAGCCAAACACAATCCAAATGTACTTCTTCAGCAAGAGGAATTTCTGTCCTTTATTATTCTGCTACTGAATATTAGTTGGAAACCAGTCCAACTACCAATAAAGCCAAACTTGCAGTTATTTTTAAATCATTTAAAATGTCTAATATGAACTTTGTTGTCTCACAGTATTGTTCTTTGCACCCATCATGTGTCCTGACTGTGAAAATAATAAAATTCAAAAGTTTACATTATTATACTTATTCTATTAATCTATTAATTATATCTTATTCTATTATTCTATTATTCTATACAGATTATTAAACAGATTAATGCTTGATTGAATAGAAACTTCTCTTGGATTGGCCTCTACTGGTTTACTGTTCACTCTTTAGGTGTGAACTTGTATGTTTTTTGTATGCCAGTTGGGTTATTAGTTGAATTACTAATGGGTTATTAAGGTGCATATATAAACATAGCATGCTGAAATTATTTTCTTTGCATATCCTAGCTGTTAGGAAGTTGGGGTCAGAGCACAGGGTTAGATATGATATGACACCCCTGATGCAGAGAGGGTTAAGGGCAATTCTCAAGGGTCCAACATTGGCAGCTTGGCCTTAACCACTGAGCCACCATTGCCCCTGATATTAGTAAACATAAACATGAACAAATTTGTGAATTGTGCTCAAATGCTGAGGCTGAGATGCAATACCGCATTACAGAAAACTACAAGACACTGACAAATGTAACATTAAATGCTAGTTGTAGCTCACAATGCATCTTAAACAAAAATCAGTATTCATAGTCATTTTTACTTTCATCTTGTAGGTAGACTTTGGTTCTCATACAGATTATTTAAATGTGTGTATACTGTATAATATCTTGTATACACATATAATATGTTTATGCCATGCAATGTGTTGAATATTGGTGTCTCATTTTCTAAACACGCAAGGTGTTTTTAGAGTGTAACCCCTATCATGCTGGGTTTACTAGTAGTAGCTGTGAGCTCTTTGAAGCTCTCTACATTACTACTGGAACATTAGAAACATCTGATGCATAAATAAGGCAGCATTGATGAAGTCCGTATTCAATATGCAGAGTTCAGAAACGAGACACTACATGATATCCTTTTAAAATGATTCTATTCCGGTTTGCTCCTCCTGGAGGAACTGTCATGCGTGTGACTTTGGTATGTGTATAGGTGTGTGTAGTACAAGTGCACCTCCTCCCACACAGAAACTAAAGAGATAAGAGATGACCAGGGGCTAAGAATGTGTAAAGTAAACACTACCGTGTGCACTCACGTGCTGTTTTAGTGGTAGCTATTCATTCAGTTATTTACCTTCCCAGCAGCTCAGTCTGTATGTTCACGCACAGTGTGTGACATAACACTGTCTACACCAATAAGGAACTCGGTCCAGGGCGAGGAATTGGTTAAAAAATAATGTTAAGTCAACTGTGATTGCTTTTATGAAAAGTGTTGGCTGTGTTTCATGAAACTACTGTGTGTTCAGTGATAAGAGCAGTAGGTTCTGTGAAAGAGAGCAGATGTAGGTCCTGTGCGCTATTCAGACACACCAGATAGGAGTTATTTGGCAAATGGGACTTGCCTTCTCTTGTGATATATCATGGTCACCTTTTTTCCTTGTGCTGTCTCAACCAGACACATAAACACACCAAAGCTGTTTTGTCCTCTCGATCCAGGAAGTGCTCTTATCTATAGCAGTGTTAGCTATAAGCATCCGTGGTATGACTGTATAGAAACCTGTAAGCACACAGCACCTAGCTCATAAAATGAAGCATGGAACTGACCTCCATTTGTCCTCTGTGTGGTTAACTAAAGCCAATGATTTATCCTTTCTGTGATAGTAGAAAAGCTTAGACATCACAATTTATACGTAGCTGATTTTGTTCAGCTCAGTGACCCTGAAAAAGTGTTGCTGATCTTCCGCTGTCCATCAGTTTGTCTTTCTCACACTGTCTTGTTTCTCCTGCCCTGTTTGTTTTCTCTTTCCCCTGATGGCACTTTATCTGTGATTCACTCTTCTGCCATGATGCTTTCTGTCTGCCAAAGACATACACACACACACATACACACACACACACACATTAACACTTAGAGGGGAATTTGGAAGGTCTGTCCTCATTGTGTGAGGGATGAGAGATGGGGCCTTCACTTTTGGAGAAGGCAAAGAGGAAAAGGTTTAATTATACAGATGTTCTGGGTGAAGAAGGTGGCAAACCAGATTATGAGGCTCCTCTTCCTGCTTGATAAACTGCCAAATGGCCAAAATCAGTAGGATGGTAGTAGTCCTGCTGAGAGATTATGTTTTTGTGTGTTATAACTGAAGATGGAGCTTATAAGAGTTTTCTTAAAAGAGTAGTTTGTAATTTAAGAGCCT